GTACGTAGTGAGACCCTGTCTCAATAGAGGTGGTGGCAGGGAGTCAGGTTTTAGCTCCACTGTCCTTTCACTGTCCATGAGGCATCTGAATTGAAGCTGTTCTCTTGTTCTGTGCCTCTGCACGGCAAGACGTCCAGTTAGACGTCACAGTATCAACAATTTTACCCTTCTTCCACTTATCATCATTTTAAATCTACACTTTCCCTCCTAAGGTCGGACCTTCTGTTCAGCCACTGGGAAGTCCATGCTATTGGTGCTATTGGTAGCAACATCAGAATGTCAGAGCTTCTCCTTCAGACTATGTTCAAGCATGTGAGTTGTGCTGAGTGAGTGAAGAGACACGGAACAGCACTATTACCTATCTACTTCTAGAATACTTCTGTGTAGCTCTGGTTTAGAGACTATGAGGTTTACCATTAAAAACTAAAATTGTGGGGCTGGAGAAATGGCTCAGAGGTTAAGAGCATTGGCTGCTCTTCCAGAGGTCCTGAGTTCAATTCCCAGCAACCACATGGTGGCTCACAACCATCTGTAATGAGATCTGGTGCCCTCCTCTGGCCTGTGGTCATACATCGAGGTAGAATGTTGTATACATAATAAATAAACAAATCTTTAAAAAGAAATAAAAACTAAAATTGTTTTTTGGCTTGGTATCTGCACTTGTAATCCAAGCATTCAGGAGACCGGGGTTCAGGAGGGTCTTAAGTTTGAGGCATGGGCTTTACACAGTGAGTTCTAGGCTAAAGTAGGCTATATAACATGACCTTTAATTTAAAAAAAAAAAGTGCTGGAGTACAGCTCCAGAGGGCAGGGTCTGAAGATGGGTAGAGGCAAGAGCAGTGGCAGAAGGAATCAAACATGGAAGACTTCTTAGTTTCATTTTAGGAGAGAGGGACAGAGAGGAAGATCTACCTAGGCAGAGAAGCAGGTCCCAGTAGGGGATGTAAGGAGCAGGCTAGGGAGGGAGGGAGCCAGGTCAGGGTGGTCAGGAGTCCTGCAGCCTGACTGACCGGCAGCCAGAGTGCTTCTTCATTTATGCAGAATTTAGTGAGCAGGGATCCATTCATGCTATTTCAAAACATAGATCATAATGTTTTTGGTTTTTGGACCTGTGTTTCACTTCCTTTTGCACATGTTTTAGTTATCATTAATAAACTATGGCAGAATGGAGTTATCATTTTCAATGATCTTCTCTCAAGTTTTGACATCATTGATAAACAGAGTTGTCATTTTTACCCACTAACCCCCATACCTCAATTTTTAAGAATCTAGAGGCATAAGACATCCTGTTCTCAGGCTCGGAGCTTTTGTGGCTACAAGGACACAAGACCAAAACAACCTCAAGACAACCCAGGCGTATTGTCATGTCCCAAGCAGTGTATTATTAACTCTCAATGGTCAGAGTGCCCAAGAAAGTCCTCAGGCCAAAGCTGCTGTGGTTATTATTCAAATTCGGGCATAATACAATGTTTGTATTTTATACTTTTATAGAACGTGTCTATATGTCTAATCCTGGCATTCTGTTGTTCCTTGGTCACATGACACCACAGTGGCTCTGCATGTGCTGACTTTGCTAAGAAAGGAAGGTCCTCACATCTCGTTCTTTTATCATCCTTCTACATCATTCTTTGCCTATCAATGTAAGGCTCTGTGCAGGGCAGAGGCAACTCCAGTGGATCTAACTTTGTTGCCGTATCTGCCACATAACAGCCTGAGTGTATAGTGGGAAGAGGCATGCAATCTGAGCTGTGGTCAACTCCTCTAGCCCACCGAATCTTTGTTCACCTTTTTGAGTTTACTTTGTTTTGAATATCTTGTTCCTGCATGAGTACAGGAACAGATGTTTCAAAAATGCCTCACAGCCTCATAAAGAGCCCCCTGAGTTCTTTATGTGTGTCACAAACTCCAAGGCACAAGGAAGACCTTCAAGTAGATAAGGATATCTACCCAAAAGAGGGAGGAATAGAATGTTCAGGACTTTTCTGGGGAAGCTTAGAAGCAGCATTACTGGAAGAAAGCATAAATAATTAATAAGAAAACTTCCATCAATCCAACATCCCTAAATTGTACAAATACTAAAATTCCCCCAAGTATGCAACTGGGAGAGATGAAAATCAAAGGTGGCATGGCGGCCATCATGTGACTCAGCTTTGCTGGATCTTTGCCAAAGAGCTCTGCTGGCCTTGTGACTTTTGCTGTTCCCATCATATACAGTTGTGCCTAAAAGATTAATAAATAAAGGAAAAACAAGAATTGTGATGAAGAGGAAACGCTTGCCAATAATCGTCTGTATTGCCCTCTTACCCACTTCCACAATAGAGCCACAGAGGGCTAGCTGACGAATACTCAGGCCAACATGAGAGTTGACATAAAATACATCACTTGACTGTTGTGGACAGATTTTCAGTTCCTCCAAAGCAGATGTTTCAGTTGTTGATTCTAACGTTCCATATAGCTCATTAATTGGAGGATGATTATGTATAAATAAAACAAAGGTAAAAGTCCGAAGGGTCTTCCATGGAGGTACCTTTCAGGTCATTGAGTCTTTACAATCTGTTCTGTCCTAGATGGCACTCACAAAAGTACCCATGCTCTGAAGTACATGGCTCTCCTCACCTTTCCCCAGAGCCTTTGAGGCACTATAGCTGCAATGTAGTCTATAGACACACACACACACACACACACACACACACACACACGAAGCTTTGCACATACCTTCTAATCCCCTGTGCCTAGAACTGCTCCCCTCCCACCATTCCTTTCTCCCTCCACCCCCTAGCCAGCTGTTACAAACTACTTACTGCTCAGCTGGCAGGAGGAAAGAGTCTACCCTAAGAAGGACACCCCTAGCAGGACCAATCAGGGAGAAAAGGAAGGCAGAAGTCTGGAGAGGGGATGGTCTTAGAAGCCTACAGGACTTCCAATCCAGAGTCCCTGGGCAGATTCCCAGACCTGGAACCCTTCCCAGCTCCTTAGTGGGAGCAAAGTCTGTCATCCTGTCCTCTGTTGCTCTGTATGTGGCTGGTCCTTTCCTGTCTATCTCTGTCACTTTGAGGCAGTAACTGCTTTTGCTTTTCCTGCATCCAGGCCTGGTACCCAAAGGATGCCCCCTTAGAGGGGCCGAGCCCAGTTTTCCCAGTTGGCCTAAAGATTCCCCAGCCCTTATTCGGTTGGAGGCTAGAGGTGTGTTAAGTTCAGAGATATGGTCCATCAGATCAGCTATTGAAGTAGATGTTATTGAGGTTTTTAGTAGTCAGAGGTTATGGCTCTTGACTTATAAGACTGTACGCTATTGTGATAGCCAAGATGAAACAATCTGCAGTATCTTTATACAAATGTAGCATCTTCAACTTAGTTCTCTGCCTTCTGTGTTTCCTTTGATTGATAGATTAAAATATACTGCATGTAGGATTTTTTTCTATCTCTAAATGTCAGTGAGATTTCAGGAGGTGTGGAAGAACGTGTATAAAATGTCCCAGTGAGTGGCCCCTCACCCATACTCCTGTGAGTGACCCCTCACCCATACTCCAGTGAGTGACCCTTCACTCATACTCCTGTGAGTGACCCCTCACCCGTACTCCAGTGAGTGACCCCTCACCCATACTCCTGTGAGTGACCCTTCACCTATTCTAGTTTTGTACATCAATTAAATGAAAGTTGAGAATTCTTTATAATGACTATTGAAATATCAACAAGAGTAATGAGATTATGTTTTTTTTTATAAATGGCTGTGGGATAATCTCCTACTTGGAAAAAATTAACTAGCATCTAGATATCACATGATAAACTGAAATAAATTCCAGCTTCAGAAGATCTAGCCCAAGGAAAACGACTCAATGCTTTGTTTACAATAGTACACCTTGAAATAGATCCACACTAGAAACTAACTGGACATGAACTACAGCTCTAAGTATAGTGAAAATGAATGTCCATGAACCTGAACCTCAAGAACCACTACAATGTTTGGTGTAATTTAAAGTCATTTCTATTTATGCAGATAACATTTATCTGCTTTATTGACTTTAGAAAAATACATTATATAGAAACAGGCACATTCATATAGTCAGAGCAACTGTTATAATAAAAACCATGTGCCACACACGGGAAAATAGCACTGAGTAACGGCAGCTTGTACAGTTTGACAAAGCTATTTTTCCACATTTATAAGCATCTTTATTTTTCATATTCTCTATACGGTATAAAAATCAAGAAGGGTTTTTTTATTAAGTAGGTGGAAAAAATGGAAGTTCATTTTGAACACAACTGGTCAAGTTATCAAATCTGAAAGAAAAGCAAATAAGAATGAAACAGGAAAGAAAAGAAGGGAAGTAGGGGGAAAAGGAGAGAGAGAGAGAGAGAGAGAGAGAGAGAGAGAATTTTAGTGGGAAAATATCACATACAAATGACTAACGGGTAATTTCTAATTTAGAACAACTCACCCCCACAATCTTACAGCAATTGTGTGAACACAAAAGAAATCACAGGCCCTTCCAGAGCTACACCTGGCACAGAGACTATTAAAACCTCGCATAAAAATCTTTCTGCGGGGACTTCAGCCAATTGTCTCTTTAATCTCACACTGACAGCCCTTGTTATTAATACTGTGGCTAAACACAGTGGTTTCAAAAGTAATTGATGTGGCTGGTCCGGCAGCAGGAGAGGGCTATCCGTACTAACTCGTATCAAAATGATTGCTACAGCCTCCTAGTTTTTCCTTGAATTCTCCCCCTGCTGAAAACGTCTTGAACTGTCACAGGGTTTCACCGAGTGTGTCCACTCTCACAGCGATGGGCCTTCTTAAGTAAACTAATTCATTCTCCACACCGTGTTCTTGATGTCCACAAACACGCGTGAGTTCTGCTACAGCAGCCTTCGCATTCTGCAGCAGGGAGATTCTGCATTCTAGAGGGTTTAATCAGTCTTACGAAACACTGCAATGTACTTCCTGTGCCAAGGCCCGCCCTTAGGCTGTGGCTGTTTGCCAGCGGGATGAGCCCGCCTCCCCAAGGACGCATAACCTTTATCAGCTTCCTAAAGTAGGCCAGAGGTGCCTATCAGCTCTCTCAGGACAGTTTCTGTAACCATGGCAGCCTTCGTGGAGCTCAGTACCAAAGCCAGGATGCCCATCGTGGGCCTGGGCACCTGGAAGGTAGGTGTGCAGTCGTTGGAAAAAACTCCTCCTTACAAGTGGGGAGTGATCCTGGGCATTTTCTTCTTTTTGCACAGCGTCTGCAGGGGATGGGGGTTGGAATCTTAGAGCCAGGACCCGGCTTGCTTTCAGCTTCTGCCCTGCTTCAGGCCTCAAAGCTCAGACTGGTTTTTCCTATCCGGCTGACCACTTCCCAAACAAGTGTCAGGTTTCCAGCTGTTTCTGGACTTGGCAATGAACAACAAAAATACCATCTCCAGGCAGTTAGTTTTTTTGTAAGCTTTTCCTCTGAATTACTTCACGATTTACAGGTTTGAGCTGTGTGTTTCCGGTTGGGTTATTCCGAGAGAGAACACTGAGTTACAAATGACCCAGTTTTTCTTACTGTCCACGGAGAAGAAAGGACTCCATTTGGAACATCCGAGCGGCCTGGGAGCCTGTGGAAAAGGCAGCCTCAGACCCCAGTCCAGGCTATTGAACTGGCGCCTGCACTTTTTACAGGGACCCCCCCCCCCCCCAATGTGTTCCCCACACATTAAAGCCTGAGCCGGCTCAAGATGACAGAGAGCCTGGCCTAGGAGTCTGCTAGGGTCCCACGCTGGCTGTAGTCATCTCTCCTGCCAAGTGCTCCAACGCCCACTCCAGGGCATAGTGAAGCAGATTTGCCCCGTATCAGAAATTTCACATCCACCGAAGCAACAAATAATCACTTGGAGATCTCCAGGGAATCTACTCACCCGGAAAAATCAGCCGAGGTGAACTTTCAGAATTCCCGCAGTGATGTAGGGTCTCTCAAGGAGTCGTTTTCAGGATGGGGTGCTGCTGGAAAGGGACAATGAGTTCACCGGTGCAGGAGCAGGGGGATGGGACTTGAGCCTGGACCCCAGTGCCTCTGAGTGGCTGGCAGCAATTCCTTGGCCCCATGATGATATAGTTGTTGATCTCTGCTATGTACACTTCTCTACGTTTGACAACTACAGCAAGAATGTCTAGACTTGGTGGGAGGTGGATTTACTTACTGTTGTCTGAGACAGGCTCGTGCAGCCCAGGCAGCCTTAGAGCTCACTAACTGGCTGATCTCCTGACCCTCACCCCCACCTCTACCTCCCAAATGCTTCGAATTATTAGCGTGGACCACCGCACCCAGAATGTGTGCATTTTTTTGCTTTTATTTTTAATCAGACAGTGATGCGTTCCAGGCTGTCTCTAGCCTCACTATCCTCCTCTCCTGCCTTTGTCCCTCCTGTGCTTGGGATGCAGGCTTGCACTATTATACTTGACTAACAGCGAGTTCCAAGTTTTGTTTCTGGAGGCAGGGTTTCACTGTGTAGCTGTGGCTAGCGTGGAACTTGTTGTGTAGAACAGGCTGGCCTCAAAGTCACAGAGATCAGCCCGCCTCTACGTCTATACTGCTGGGATTAAAAATGTGTATTACCATGCCTGGCTTAACTTTTTTTTTATACATGTTTTGTTAGTTTGCTAGTGTGGTTGTGTGCATGCAAACACGTACATTTGCACACTCAACTACTTTTATGCCATGGTGTGCATGTGGCCTTTGGAAGGATAGTTTGTATGCGTCAGCTCTCTCCTTCTACCATGTGAGAGCTGGGGATTGAACTCAGGTCCTAAGATTTGGCAGCAAGTCCCATTACCCTAGGATTCATCTTGCTTCCTCTGCAAAGTGAACTTTAAGGGTTTATTTTCCTAATCCAATATCTGCTTGGCTGGTGGAAATTGGGAGAAGCTATTTCAGATATTCTTTTGTTTTTTATTTCTTATTGACAGAAATGAAAATCCATTGCTGTGTAGTGTCCTATTTGTTCCCCCTCCCGAAACAGTGAATATATAACGGATTGCATACGGATATGCAACCCTATGCATGCCTTACTAAGTGACAGGCGGTACACCAGAATCTTTATGTTCATTGTTGAAAGCAAGCAATGTAAGGACCTTATCAGGTAGGCTGTCTTGACTGCTGTTTTGCAGTCAAGGTATAAAAAAACTGCAACCTGCTCAGCCTCTGAACTCTACTCATGGGAGAGTTCATATTAACTTACAACAACTATAGTTTAAGTGTTTATAACTGTCTGGGGGTCTGAGGATTCTTCTGGTCCACTGTAGATTCGAGTTTAGTCTTTAGCAAGTTGCAAGGGGAGCAACTGAAGAGCCTTCAAGGTCAGCTTAGATTAGAGAAGAACTCCTTTTTGGCTAAGACAGAACATGGGTGATAATCACAAAAACAATTCACAGTTTAGGATACAACATATGAATGAAGATCAATAGATGAAACCAATTATATTATATGCTAACCATAAAAATTAATAAAATGATCCAGTCTTTTCTTCTAAAGAGTTTTCCAAAGGATGTTTCCCTACTCCTGACACCAATATCTATCTGAAATAGATCCTAGCCAGGCTGTGGTTTGAGAATCTGATCTATGTGGAGCCTTGGAAGAATGGCTTCTAAGGGTCTCTTCTGTTGCCTTCCAGTCTCCCCCTAATAAAGTCAAAGAAGCTGTGAAGGCCGCCATTGATGCTGGGTACCGCCACATTGACTGCGCCTATGTGTATCAGAATGAGAATGAAGTGGGGGAAGCCATCCAAGAGAAGATCAAGGAGAAGGCCGTGAAGCGGGAGGACCTCTTCATTGTCAGCAAGGTAAAGTGGATCCCTTGGTGGAGGGGACTTTAGGCAGGTAGAAGTATCTGGGAATGGGCAGCTTCAAGAGTTTATCAGCCACCCCCATCTGCGGTATTCTCCCAGCACCTCTCACCCACCTTCATTCTATCTCTGGATCTTTATCCATGACAAATCAGCACTAGTAAGAAAATGCTGATGCTAGTCTCCTACAGTATTGGATCTCTTATAGTAGTGATGGCTTCATTGAGCCTCCTGGTGTTCTTGACCTCCCTGTTTTCAGCAGTGGGATCTACTCTCCAAGGGGCAGTAAGGGGTATGGTTGGGATGGCCTCTGAACCTTACTGCTTGCTTAACGCGACTGCGGTCTCAATGGCCCCGGTCTTGATGTTCTCAGACATGTGTGGTTTGAAAATGGTGGGAGCATTATTTATTGTCATGTACAAATTTCCTTTTATTTCAAACCAATAAAACGTGTGAATTATAAATTGTTATAAAAAGCAGAGGTGCTGAACGTTAGGTATTTGGGGAGCTTTGGCTCTGTGCTGGCGCATGCTTGTTCAAGGAAATCGTACCGGGTCTGACACACAGCCCCAGTGTTGGTGTGGGTATGACTGATGGACTTGGGGGTCAGAGCAATGAAAGGGTCATCTGCTCCCAGTGCAGATACTTGAACTTTAAGGGTCAGATGCAATTTCTTCCCTCTGAGAACTAACAGCAAGACACTAATATAGGAATGTCAACTTCTAATTAGGAATCAAATGTGCTAAATGAAACAGAATACCAAGAGCATGGAAGAGGACATAGGCATGACCTTGACCTTGTTGAGGGCTGGTGACCTATTCTAAATATTAACTAAATGTATTATAAACCAATGGCCTGACCTGGTTTTCGATCAACAGCAAATCTCAAAGGAGGGAGGGTGACTGTGGAGTGGCCCTTTTCTTTACCCCGTCCTAACGTCCTCATGTCACACTCTGCAGCTGTGGTCCACCTTCTTCGAGAAAAGCCTGGTGAAGAAAGCCTTTCAGAAAACCCTCACGGATCTGAAGCTGGACTACCTGGACCTGTATCTAATTCACTGGCCACAGGGATTCCAGGTTTGAGCTGCTCTTTGCCCCATCTGTAGCAGCTGAGCAAATATCAGAAACCAGCAGCTGTGCCTGAGCTGGGGCAGGGGGATGGGCTGTATCAGGAGTTCTGCGCACAGCAGAAAGTCAATGGCCTAAAAAGCACATAGGTGGAACTTTCTGTCCTGCCAGCCAACTCCCAAATAACCACAGACACTTGTTATTTATAAATACTTGGCTTGTTACTAACTAGTTCTTACAAATTAAAACTTAAATTCATCCATATTTATCAATTTACATGCTGTGAATTGGCTCATGGCTTGTATCCTTATCTTCTACACGTCCGGCTTCCTCTGCACCTGGGTGGTGACCCTGCCCTTCCTCATCCCCTCACTCTCTCTCTAAGTGCTGCCTAACCTCTCCCTGCCTAGCTATTGGCCATTCAGCTCTTTACTAAACCAATGAGAGCAACGCATCTTTACAGTGTACTAAAAGACTGTTCCACAATAAAAGCAGTTGGCCTGTCACTTTTCTATTCATTCCCAGCCCAGTCCCCTGAGCAGAGAGGGTGCGAATCTCTTGGGACAGTCTTGTATGACACACATCAAGGATCAACCTTTTGCCCTTTATAGCACCCCCGCATGGGGAAGAGGCATCTGGGAGCAAAACCCAAATATAGGAAAGCTGGCAGATAATATAATCTGAAAAACTATAGCTCCATGCCTGGGACCCACTCCTGCTGGTTCCACAGAGTTCAAAGGGGTTGAGGAAGGTGTGGAGAGATGGCTCTGCAGTTAAGAACACTGGTTGCTCTTCTAGGGGATACAGGTTTAATTTTTAACAACCACACGGAGGCTCATAACGGTCTGTAACTCCAGTTCCGAAGAATCATACATCCTATTCCTGCCTCCACAAGCACTTGGCAAGCATGTGGTTACACAGACAAACATGCAGGCAAAATAATCATTCACATAAAAACAAACAAACAAGCAACAAAAAAAAAACCCTGCAAAATCTAAAACCAACAAAATCTTTTTAAAAAGTGAATGTAGGGGGAAATTGAAGGGATGTGAATTCTCATTCTACTGTACATGTGACCAGTTTGGGTGATGACTGCATACTATCCCAAATTTCAGATTTAGGCTGCAAGGACACTGGCTAGTATCCTCTGCTGCCCGCCATGCCATTTCCATATGACCCTCGTCTAATAACCTTGAAGCCAAAATGCCCCACCCAGTATCTAAGGCGTTAGGTATGTTGAATTAATCTCCGTGGTGACAATAATAGCTTTGACAATGTACTAAGGACAGATGGTCAGACACTGTCCACCAGGGTCACATGCAGGGTTTCCATCCCACAGCAGACTGCCACATAGATGGTTCTGAACTTTTCTGTGAAAAATGGCTATGCGGGCATTTCTCTTGGGTACGTCATCACCCTCAAACCTTGCTGCGCAGAAACAGGCACCCATATGTAGGTCCTAATGAGGTTTTTGTCTTGCGTTTACAGGCTGGAAATGAATTTTTACCAAGAGACGATAAAGGCAACATTCTCGTCAGTAAAGCAACATTCTTGGATGCTTGGGAGGTAGGTTCCTACTCCTCTGTATGTTTTCAGAGATAAAAACTTCTGTCAGAACCCCTTGACACTCCACCCTGATCTGAAAATGCCCAAGTGATCTATCTGTGTTTAACTTCACCGTTCCTGTTTCTCTCTTTTCTATTCATGTATGTGATATGCACTTGTGGAGGTCAGAAACCTTGTGTGGGAGAAAGTTCTCTGTCTCAATGATATGAGTTTCTGGGAATAAAATTTTGTCTCTCCACATCACATAGACAGATTTTGATCTTCCTCTGAAGCCCAGGTAGACTTTAAATCATGAGTCTTTTGCCTCAACGCCCCCAACTTATCTGGGATTTTTAGCCTACACCCAGACCCATCTGCTGTTGTAATTCCTCTCGTTGCTGTCCAACACAGCTTGATGTTCTGTGAGGAAGGCCTTGAAGATATATGGGCCCTGGTAGGAGTGCCTATCTTGGCACTGTAAAAGGGCTGAAATCTATCCTACTGACTACCTGCTTAGCCCCAAATGGAGTCAACCCAATGATATAGGGTTTATAGATTATTACCCACAGTGATCTTGTTCTAAACTTTCCCAAAGATAATGATCCAACCCTAGAGCAGCAGCTACAAACCAAATATGAAGTTATAATCTATTCATTGTAAGTTCCTGTCCAGTAGTTGCTAGGATCAAAGCATATACAATGTATTTGCTGTTGAGACTCTTTCAGTGCTAAGGTTTCTGTGGATGAGCCATTAGCCCCAGTGCTAGGGGACCTCAGCTTATTTGACAGTTCAAACAACATAGGAATCAAAGAGGGAAGGAAGGAATGTCTGATCCCAGGAGAGACATTAAAGAGAGTTTGATTTGGGCCTGGAAAATAAAGGGAAGAAAGGGGGTAAAATTATGAAGAGAAGCCAGAAGTTCAGTTTTCCTTCTTGGTTACAGCTGAGCGGGGGACAGGTAGAAGGGCTGGAACCAGCCATGCAGGCACCACAGTCTAGCTGGAGATTCCCTTTAGTGCTTCACTTGACCTTGTCACATGGAAGCCATTCCTCTTATCCAAGGACGAGGCCAACCCAGCATCCCTGTATCCTCCTGCAGCCATCTAACTGGTATTTCTCACTGTGACAGGCCATGGAGGAACTAGTGGACCAGGGGCTGGTGAAAGCTCTGGGTGTCTCCAACTTCAACCACTTGCAGATTGAGAGGCTCCTGAGCAAGCCTGGACTGAAACATAAGCCAGTGACCAATCAGGTACATTCTCTTTGGTGAAGGACCCTGGTCTGGGACTACTTCAATACTGGGAGGCAATTTCCATACTAGCTACTGAGTCTCATCTCTGAGGTCTGTGTTCAGGATGCTCAGGGAGCTGGGAGGCAGATCTCTGGGTCTGGTTTGGAGCACATCTATCATTGATTTGCATTTGGTCTTTGTTTGTATTTGCTCATGTGGAGAAGTCTTTCTCAGCCACTCAGAAAGTGGCCAGTGGCCTAGTCCCCTAGTGATGGCGATGTTTTCTCTTGCAGATTGAGTGCCACCCATTTCTCACCCAGGAGAAACTGATCCAGTACTGTCACTCCAAAGGCATTGGCATCACGGCCTACAGCCCTCTAGGTTCCCCAGACAGACCTCAGTAAGGCTTCAGAATGGTGTCTTTTCCTTTTAACGTTCTTAAAACAGTATTTGGTAACTGGTTAGTAATTCCAAAGACACTAGGAAAAAATGTGTCTATCTTTGGCAATGTGTTGAGCCACCTGAGGGAATGCAGCTGTAAAAATTTTTGGAAAACCCAACAGTGGTCCTGGCTGATACTCAGAGAAGAGGTTATTTCTGTCTTGCATGGCTAGGTCATAATTTTCAACTGCTAAATCTCTGGTCCATAGCTGGACTCCTGGAGAGACACAAAGCACTCTCTCTCTCTCTCTCTCTCTCTCTCTCTCTCTCTCTCTCCTTTCTTCCTTCCCTCTCCCCCTCCCTCCCTTCCCCTCCCCCTCTCTCTGCCTGTCTCTCAGATGGAGAAGGCTTTCATGCTCAGCCTTGGCACTGTCCTGGCAGTAATGTTCATAGACATGTAGTAGCCACGGTGATTTTCACGCCAGCCATCTCTCTTCCTCTAGAGCCAAGCCAGAAGACCCTGTAGTACTGGAGATTCCCAAGATTAAGGAGATTGCTGCAAAGCACAAGAAAACTGCAGCCCAGGTAAAATGGAGTAATTCCCCCTTTATCTAACCACTCATTCTTCTAGTCATGTGTTTTATTGGTATTGCCTTCTTTCAACGCATTGGAGGGGAAGAAATGAGAAATGTAAGTCTGTTAGGACTTCCAGGCAAAACCACTGGCATCAGGGAAGGGCTGCCTCTGTCAATCAGCTTCCTGTCAAACCCCTAGGCTCAGCCTCATGAACATTGCCTTCTGGACACAGTCTCAGTTTCATGGCCACAAGCCACGCGCGTCCTTCCTATCTAGGGAAATCAGTGCTGCCTCCAGCATCAGGGGCTGTAAGATGGGGCCTGGCAAGTGTCTCTAATAATAGCTAAAGCCACAGAGAAATACAAGTACATTTTATCAGTTATTTCACTAAGAGGAGTTCTTCATAGGTAAGTAGATACCTAATGTCCCCTCTTTGTACACAGGTTCTGATTCGGTTCCACATCCAAAGGAATGTGGTGGTGATCCCCAAGTCTGTGACACCCTCCCGCATACAAGAGAACATTCAGGTAAGGTGTGGCCTCATCATTTGCTATCCGCTGGGTGGGGAGGGGCTGGGAAAGATCCTGTCCTTGAACTTTAATCCCACCCCCTGATTGCCAGTGTGACTTAACTCCTTCCAACTAACTAACTGACCAACACTTGTGCTAGTTAGCTGGCCTCAACAGAGCTGCAGCGATTACATGCATGTGGGCCATGAGTGTGTTGGAGGCAGGCACCAGCAAAGGCCTGTCAGATCTGAATGTCTGAGCTTTGTCCCACTGAGGAGATTCCTGTTACCCTTGACACTTAGACCACAGGCCCACACTGTCCTGGTCAACTATGGACTCTCTTGGTCTACTCATGCACCTTTTTGTAGAAGGTGATGCAATGGATTGAAAAAAACGCGTCTCCTACATGGCCCTCAGGATTTCAGTCATTGCACACACTGCACACACCTACAAAGCCCCCCTTCTAAATTATCTCTAAATTATCCAGTCAGCATTTAGAGAAGAATTTGGAGGCATTATGCCTGAATGGGAGGAACACCTATAATCTTAGATCCCATCAACACTTTCCTTGCTAAGGATGTTTTTGGAACTTTCTAGGTCTTTGACTTCCAGCTAAGTGATGAGGAGATGGCCACCATTCTCAGCTGCAACAGAAACTGGAGGGCCTGCGGCCTGTTTATGTAAGTATCATCAGGTTAAGTAGGAGGGTGATTAGGCTGTTATCTAAGAGGACAGTGCTCTTGTATCAGGATTTGTGAGTGGAGTCACACATTGATGGACTCAAAAGTAAACCTAGCTGGCTCGTACTAGAAACCCTACCACTTACTAGACATGGGGCCTTGGGTTGTTTGGGTATTACCAAGTCACTCTATCTACAGAGCAGGGATGACAGTATTAATTGCAGCAACCATCCACTGAGTACTAGTTTAGGATATAGCAGACATTTTAAGCTCTTTGCTTATATTAGTATCTTATTTAATACTCATAACCTATCTGTCCATTTCAGTTGTACTTCCCACTTCACGACAATGTGAGAATTTGAGGCCCCCGGTTGTGTGTCAACTTGCTTATGATCCCTCATTATGACAATCTACTGGTGACCAGGTCACTGTTTGTTACAGACCCTCCTTCCTTAATAGCCCTCTCGTACTTTAGGGCGACATCATGGTCTGTGTGCCCTATCTCATTTCCTCATGGTCTTATTGGAGCCGGGGCTCAGCGAGCACCAAGATGGTTGAATAGAACACTGAACGGTGTCTTTAGGTTACACTTGTTGCTTCTGGGGAACAATTTCTTCTTATGCTCGTTGCTACAGGGCAAGTCATCTTGAGGAGTTCCCTTTCCATGCCGAATACTGACACGGGTTCACCTGATGAGTTTGCCCAGTCGCCCTCTTCACGGGTGTGCCATCCTCTCCTCAGGACTCCTATTGTTGCCAAGCCTACCAGATACCACACTGAGCCAGCCACAAGAAGACAATTCTTCATTTAAACCTCATGTTCAGCTAGAGGCAGCCTGTCACAGACAGGACAATTGTTTTCACTAATTAGATCTGGCCAAATGTTTGTCTTACCCCAGTGGTAATTCTGAGGACATAAAGATCAAACAATAAAAATGACAATCACCACACACATTTAGCAGTCAGGAGAGCTTTCTGAACGCCGTGGGTCCAACTTTCACCATTCATATTTTACAGAAGAGGAAATGAAGCCAAGAACTTGCTGAGGGCCCCAGGTAGAAAGTGGCTACAATAGGTTTCAAAGGAAGGGTGCTTTAGGGGGAGCTCAGGACAATTTGCTGCCTTCCTCATCCCAAACCTTCTCCTGGCAGGTACCTGCCTCTTTCCCCAAAGACTTGACTCTTTCCTCTTCTTGCTCTTTCCTCTGATATGCCATGACAAAGGTCAATGCTGCTGGTAGAAGAGCCCTTAAAAGTCACACAATGCCACTATTCAGAGAGAGAGAGAGAGAGAGAGAGAGAGAGAGAGAGAGAGAGAATGGCATTTGTGGGAATGGGGCAGGGAATGAGGGAATCTGGACATGACAACATTAACTGTTGCCGATAATCTAGAACTCTATTCCTAGAAAGTATGTGAAGAAAACATTCTTAGAAACATTTCCAATTATTTAGGAATATCCACATGAAAGCGTAATGAGCAAATGGCCATCCATTTTACAAATAAAACAAAACTAACAGTTTGCCATATTTAGTCCAAATACCGTTTTAAAAGGAATTTATTCAAGATCCAAGTTGTAGTCAAGATAGGGGAGGATCATTCCTCCATCCCTGCTCCCCATAATCAGTGTCCATTGATGGCTTCTGAGGCACCTCATTCTCTGCTGCTCACAGGTCCATTGAACACTCAGTACCCTGCTCTGCTCTTCCCCGGGGCCCATGGTGATGGGGATGGGGGGACACCCACTACCCAAGCTTCCTAGTCAAACTTCTGGGATTGGGCATTGAGCTTCTGTTAGGAGGTTGAACATCAGCAGAAAAAGTCATCATTGTCTGAACACGTGATCCCAGCTCTTCCTAATCAAGCCTCCACATTGCTACTGATTCCTACCAGCTGACAGCGCTTCTGGGATTAGGGTATCCCCCTTTCTCCTGTATCCTCTCATCTCAAGGAGTTGTTGGTTGTTTATCACTCTTTACTCTTTGAGGGGGTCCACTACCCAGCTCCCAAATAATCACACGGAGACTTATTCTTTCTTATGAATGCCCGGCCTTAGCTTGGCTTGTTTCTAGCTGGCTTTTCTTAACTAAAATTATCCTATCTATCTTTTGCCTCTGGGCTTTTATCTTTCTCTATTCTATATACCTTTCTTCTTACTCCATGGCTTGCTGTGTAACTGAGTGGAGGGCCACTGGTGTCCTCTCTCTCCTTCTTTTCCCCCTTCTCTTTACTCCTATTTATTTTCTCTGCCTGACAACTCCACCTATCCTTTCTCCTGCCTAGCTATTGGTCATTCAGCTCTTTATTAGGCCAATCGGGTGTTTTAGACTAGCAAAGTAATACAACCTCACAGAGTTAAGCAAATGCACCATAAAAGAATGCGACACACCCTTAAATCTTTAAACAAATGTTTCACAGCATAAACGAATGTAATACATCTTAAAATAATATTCCGCAACAAGAGGTGGTGGTCTCTTTTTGCCTGAGCTCTGACAGGAAAAAAATAACCTCAGAAAAATGAACCTTCTCGCTCCTTCTCCCCTGATTCCGTCACTAAGGGCAGCAGCATCTATTAGCTGGGCTTCATCTGTTTATGAGTGAACAGCCCTGGAAAACCAGTGTCTGTGGCAGCGCTCAGCCTCTGGAGTCTTCTGACTTCACTGTGTTCTGCTGGGAACCTGGAGGCCAAGTTCTGGAACAAGCATGCAAACAACAGGCTTTATAATATCAGCCGGCAACATCAGCCCTTAAGAGTTCATCAGACAAAGAACCACACACCCACAGCTGCACTCTCTCTCAGCTCTGAGGAGCCCTTTGCATTGCGACACTGGAGGCCTGCCCTGCTTCCTCACAGCGTGAGCATGGGCTGGCAGCCAAGGCCATGTCTAACTGCGAAGGAGAATACAGCTGCAGAAGAGAGGGCGGGGCTGCTTCAGGAGCTGCAGCCTGGATCAGCCAGTGGCTCCCAAGTCTAGTTGGGGTTAGAGATCATTGCGCAGTGCTACAGCATCACAGTCAGCCTAGTGTTCCAACACCACCTATGACCATGAACTCCCTTCCTAATGAGTCCTTGGAAAATTCTATGCTTAGGAAACTTTTATTTATGTGCTTGCCACTTCTTTCTTCCTGTGCATTTCAATTCTGTGCCCAGCGACAGCACGGAACAGGCTCTCCTAGCCTTCAGCAAAGCAGGAAAGCCACACAAAAACCACATCAAGCTGCTTTATGTCTATGCATTTGGTTTCTTGATAACTGTCTCCAATTAGTGGACACAGTTAAAATTTAACCAATCAGTGCGAATAGCATCTTCCAGGACCCTGAGAGCTGCATACCTGGCTCATTCAAAGAGCTCCTAGTACTTCACAGCATACTGCTTCAGCTTCTCCTGGGGGATCATTCTGACCTTTTTCTCTTTTTGATATGCCTGGGTTCAGTGGTTATGTCCTTATCTCTTATGGACCTTTTTTATCATCAACATAATTAGGATAAGAAAATATCCAGGCCATTACTGAGGCACATGTCTGGGAGCCTTCATGAAGGTCTCTCCTGAGAGCGTAACTGACAGAGGGAGATCTATCCCAGTGTTGGGGGCACATTCCTAAAAGGTGGCTGGATGAAAGAGAAAAAGAAACACCTAGATGAGTTCCAGAATCCATTTCTTATTCCTTCCTGTTTCCTGATCTGTTCTGATATGAGAATTAGATTTCTATTCCTACAGTGTGCCCTCCCCATCACAATGGACCATGCCCTTCCTAACCGGAAGCCAGGAAAAACCTACATTCTCTTTTAACTTGCTTTCTGATAAGTACTTATTACACAACAGATAGTAACACAGTATCTGAGGTCAGGCAAACCTTAACGGGCTCATTCACCTGTCCAGAGATAAATGGAAGAGAAAAACAATGTAATTCATGGGGACAAAAATCAAACAAGACGGAATTAGCACAATGCCAAGGGAGGGATACCATGAGAATCAATATGAGCCAGAGGCAGTCCTCTATATTCTCTGCCTCCAGAGAGGGAAACCAATGCGAGATGTCACATTATTTCACCTCTGGACAATGTGAACCCTGGGCACCACAGTATAGATAATATTGACGCCGTCTCCTTTCTCTGCTTCCTCACAGCCAAACTATTCTCACAAGCTATGCATTTAAAATCCCCTCACTACCTTACATCCAAGCGAATGAGGGAAGCCATGTCATACCACCAGTGCAAAATGTCTAACACACAACAATAGCATTCACCCAATCACCATTGGAGCCCAATTGCAGGGAATGCCTGCTCTTTCAAGTGTGGATTCTCGTATGGATGACATTTGTTCCCGGCAGCTCCAGGAGAATCACTGCTGATTTGAGAACAATTAGAACCTGTTCCAGGAAATGTAAAGAAGGGAGATGGTCCTCCAGGTCAGCAGAGAGGAAAGGAAGGAAAGGCTGAGCAGAAGCCTTGGGAAATCACTGCCTTAGAGACCAGAATGCGGCTGGGAAGCCTGGTCTTGGGAAGGAGAAAGAAGGAAGGGCCCACATGGCTTCCAGCTAGCTACACCAGTACCCAGAGTGCACAGACACCTTCCATGCCTCTTTGTCACTCCTGCTGAGATCAGAGAGCTAAATGAGAAAAATCTGTGAAAACAAATTCTATGGCAGCATTACAAAGCAGAGGAGTGGGTTTGCTAGGCAAATATTCTACCAGTTGTGAAGTATTTGTAAACTGTATGATGTGTTAAAAAGCCAAGGAGCCAAATAAGAAAAAAAAAGCTAAACAGCCAGTAGTTAGGCAAGAGAGATAGGCGGAACTTCCAGGTATAGAGAGGAGAGGAAGAGGAATCTTGGTATACCGGAGAAGCCAGGAGACATGGAGAGGAAACAGAAGGTGTAAGATGAAAGAGAGGTAAATCCACACGGTAAAGATATAGATGAATAAAAATGGGTTAATTTAAGCTTTAAGAACTAGTTAGGAACAAGCCTAAGGTATAGGCTGAGCTTTCATAATTAATAAGAAGTCTCTGTGTCATTATTTGACAGTGGGTTGGTGGAACAGAGTAGGACTTGTTACATATGGCATTCAATAAGGGGGTACATATTTCCACGTAGGACCCGAGAAAGCTTAAAAAGAGATGTTCCAAACACACAGACAGGGAGCCAGACACTGCTTCCTAGTCTGTAGTCCCTCTGGCAGGGGGCAGCAAACAGAGAGACATGGCTCCCAGCTATTGCCTGTGGCCTCCAGCCAGCCAGTGTCATGTGCTGAGCCATGCAGTGGGTTTAAGGCTTTGATCACGTGGTCAGGGAAGGTTGCAGTTGTGCAAGTAAAGCAGTCCAGACTGAGAAAATATTTAAAAAGATACAGTAAAAACTGGGTACAGATAGTTACAGGAAACATAGATTAAAAATAAAAAAGTCTTTAAAGAGAGAGCAAAATAATATAAGTCTAATGAGAGAGCAAAGTAATATAAAAGAAATAAGCCATATACAGATGGGAAATACCCAGGGTATCTGGATACTGTATGGTGCTTTGCTGACTTTGAATTTTGTGAAAGATGATGAATGAATGGCAGCTGCTAAGAGACACTGGTTTATGAAGGGGACTGCTGAATTAAACCAGCCTATTCATCTTAGAGATGTATTGGTTTCAGAATTGAAGTTGGGAAATGTGTTGTGTTGGGGGAGAGGTTATGCCTTTGTTTCCACAGAAAACAAAAAGTTATGGTTCTCCCCAAAATTAACATAGATTAGATTTGATTTGGGGAGACCTCCTGAATTTTGACTACAGACATTCATTAAAAAAAAAAAAAGAAAAACTATAGGACAGGTAACACATATGCTGACCCTTCTACTATAGGGACAACTCTGAGACTGGAGAAGAAATAATAAATCTTGTTTGCTACAGAGTTCTTATGACTTATGCCATCCTTTCATACAACACAGATATAGATTTATAGTTTGGTTATAT